AAAACGCTACGAATTAATTCCAACACCTAATATATAAACGTGTTCTTTCATCATGTGAAGGTGCCCCGTACAACAATGTTACACCGCCAATTGTCATATCACGAAAAGTGTAGAACAAGAATTTCCATCTACTAATTCCACCTACTAATTCGACAAAAAAATATTTAGACAGATTTTTAGCATGCCAAAGGTCTCACATTGTCCCCTATATTAGCAAACATAGTTCTACAAGACTTAGAACAAGAAATTACGCTAATAATATTATCCCGTCTTTTTATTTTCGTTATGTGGATGACATTGTGTTAGCGGTGCATAGAGACAAAGTGGAGGGGTTCTGGAATTGTTTAATTCATATCATGAAAGGCTTAGATTCACTGTTGACTTTGGGAATGAAAACGGTATAAATTTTTAGACGTAAAACTAATGAGACAAGAAGGAAGAATCATCTTCGATTATTTATAAAAAACCTACTAATTCAGGGAGATATTTAAATTATTTTTCGAATCATCCGTTAGTACAAAAAAGGGGCGTAATCATCGGGCAATTAGATAAAATTTTGCTTTTATCCCATCCAAAATTTCAGGAAAAAAAACATCTCTGATTTAATTCACTCTTTTAATGAATGGTTATCCTCTTAAATTCATCTTTTCAACAATAAAAAATAAAATAAAAACTTTAGAAAATAGAACTAATTTAGATAAAAATCGTGAGGACAATAATAACGAAAGTGACTCTAATTCTAATTTAAAGAAAAAGTTTTTCATAATACCATATTTAAGTAAAGTATCTGAAAAATTTAAAAAAACTTTCACATATTCATGGCTTTAATATCGCTTATAAACCCATAAATAAAATGAATATATTTATAAAAACTGGAAAAGATCCTTTGCTTAAAGAGGACCATCGGGGAGTAGTCTATAAAATAAATTGTTTAAATTGTGAGTCTTCTTATGTTGGCCAAACAAAAAGGAAATTAAAAACTAGAATAAAAGAATATAAGGCTGACATAAGATCCACCTCTGAGATGTCAGTGATTTCACGTCACCAGTTGAATGAGATGCATGAATTGGATTGAGATAACATAAGAATTGGATTGAGATAACATAAGAATTTTAGACACAGAATCATTAATGAAAAGAAAAATTTCTGAAATGATATATATAAAAGGCCTAATAAGTGGTATCAATAAACAAAGTGACACTGAAGGTTTGCTTGATGTTTATCTGCCTCTTCTTAAGAAAGATCTGTCTCACACTTAATAAATAATTCTAGAACTTTCTGACTTATATATATAAATAATGATAACATATATGATATGACAAATAATAACACACAATGTCACGACAAATTTCCATCTGTGTAAAGGATGTACTTGAGATTTATCATTATTTTTTTGCTGTAAAACAGGTAACGATTCTATTCTCACACATTTCAATTAGAACATATTAATGATAGGTTAATTTGTTAAATTAGAAATCTGGAAATTCTTGTTCTACACTTCTCGTGATATGACAATTGGCGATGTAACATTGTGTACGAGGCACCTACACATGAAAGAACATGTTTATATATAATTATATCATACGACGGTTGAATTTAATGTCAGTTATGTAACTCTTAAGAATATTGTGAATTTACTGAAGATGGCCAAATTGTGACCGAAATGTCTAATGTTTTTATTAATGTAATGATAATTAAATATCACAAATTATATCTTGTGCAGTTTTTTATCCTCTTCTTTTCATACGTTTTGATTTATAAACCGTTCGTTTTTATGATGTATTTTGAACCCATATATATTTTTTATATCTTATTAACTTATTTAATAAAAATACTCATTCAACTAGTATTCATTCAAAACGAAAGAATTTGGCAGAAAAACGCGGTGATATATTTCACGAAACAAATAATTACGCGTAAGAGCCACTACATACAAAATGACAGGTAATTATTTAGAAAACGTCCCTCACCTTCAATTTCAATGAAATTATGCTTATTCGAAGCGTTTTTACATGAAAGAATCTGGTAATAAAATGTGCGTCCAGCGAATCGAGATATTAAGCGTTAAAGTTGACGACTATTAAGGTTAGGAAATCTGTCACTCCCTCCCTCTCACTACAAAATCACTGCGGAGGGGAACATGGCACATGGCTTCTGTAAAGGCCGCAGCACAAACTTTTGCATAACGCATAACACTTAATGCATAAGCGAATCAACTAATCAAAATCTTTCCTTTCCTTTCATTCCATGGAAAAGAAGAATTTTGGTTGATTCTTTTATGTATTATGCAAGAGTGCTACGTCCTTAATTGACTGCGTTCAGCAGAAAAAAGAGCCGTGCAACTATTGTAAAATTCTTCAATGGCTGTATTCAATAGACTCAACAGTTTTGCAACCGTTTTATGATTCTCTGCTGAGATAAGACCATTTTTCTAGATCTAAAAGTATAATCCAATTAATGCAAAGAATCAAAACGGTTGCAATACTGTTGAGTCTGCTGACGCAGCCAATATGATTGATTTAAGGTACTTTTTCATGCTGACGTTCGACGCTCATTTTCAGCGTCAAGATAAATCGTATAGTCAAAATTGATGCTTGATATTCATCAATTTCTGTTACATGATTTATTTTGACCAAAAATGAGCGTCGGACCTCGGCCTGAAAAGACACCTTTATACATTTAGATCCAGTGAAGAATAAGGGCAAAATCATATTAGTTAAGCGGGTAAGATGTTTTTTTTGTTCGGAACGGCTACGCCGTCCGGAACTAATAAGCACTAGTCTATACACCCCACTGTCTACATGACAGATTTTCTACACTTCAACAATTAGAATTATAGAAGCGACACTTTTTTTTGCCAGATTTTTTCATTTCATGAACGCAAAAACGCATTGAATAAATCTAATTTCATCATGAAATGAAAAAATCTGGCAAAAAAAAGTGTCGCTTCTATAATTCTAATTGTTGAAGTGTAGAAAATCTGTCATGTAGGCGGTGGGGTGTATAGACTAGTGCTTATTGGTTCCGGACGGCGTAGCCGTTTCGAACAAAAAAAAACATCTTACCCGCTTAACTGCCTAGAAGTTACAGCTGCCAGATGTGGCGATTTATCGCCAAATCGATTTTTGACTTGGTCGGGCTAGAGAGCCTACAATCAGAGTGACGCCATACGTATTATATACGGGTATCACTTGTGATTGGTCTGCCATGTTTTAGCCATTCCCTCCAGTTTTTAAACGCATTATTTTCTAAATTTTGAATGCTAAAAAATGCTCAAAAATTGTGACAAATTAAAAAATGATAATAAATAAATATTGTAAAATAATAAAACTTTTACATATATTATTTATTATAAAATTTCATTTATTTTGTACTATTGCAATAGTGTATAATACATTTTGTAATATTGCACATTACTTTATACAAAACGTTATTTATTGTACATTATTTGCGCTATTAAATGCGCTAGTTTATTATCCATTCTCTGTTCCTACATTTTAGGAGCAAAATGCATCTGTAATAATATAAAAGAAATCAAAAATTCAAAAAAATATAATATTATATATGTATATACCATTTCATAAAATATTATATATTAAATATCGTAATTATCATATTATTTGATTTAGACTCACAATGCAATGATATATAATTGAAAAGATTACGACAAAAAGAGAAAGAATTAAATTCGTAATCAATGTGATGCCTATACATATACACTTATTATCATAGGACGTCATTTGCCGTACATAACCTTTCTTGAAATCATAAATAACTATACTGTATAATTCATTGAATATGTCAAAATTTGTGCCAGATAAAGTGTTTTTGCGGGGAGTTTTGCTTCATTACTTTAATATGAACAAAAGTGCAGCTGAAGCTCATCGTATTTTAGTGGATGTGTATAGTGAACATGCTCTGGCTGAGCAAACGTGTAGGAAGTGGTTTGCACGTTTTAAAGCTGGTGATTTCGACTTGGATGACAAGGAGCGACCTGGTCAGCCGAAAAAATTTGAAGATAACGATTTGCAGGCACTGCTCAATGAAAACTCATGTCAAACACTTAAAGAATTATCTACGTCATTGGAAGTTGACTTCTCAACAATAGGAAAACGTCTTAAAAGTTTGGGCATGATCCAGAAGGAAGGACATTGGGTCCCATATGAATTGAAACCAAGGGATATTGAGAGACGTTTTCTCACGTGCGAACTGCTGCTTCAACGGCAGAAAAGAAAAGGTTTTTTGCATCGGATTGTTACCGGTGACGAAAAGTGGATCCATTATGACAATCCAAAGCGCAGAAAGTCATGGGTTAAGCCCGGCGAACCATCAACATCAGTGGCAAAGCCCAATATCCATGGCTCAAAGCTCCTGCTCTGTATTTGGTGGGATCAGAAGGGTGTCATATACTACGAACTGCTAAAACCGCATGAAACCGTTACTGGAGATCTCTACCGACGGCAACTGATGCGCTTGAGCCGTGCATTGAAGCAAAAACGGTCGGAATACTTCGAAAGACACGATAAAGTCATCTTGCTGCACGACAATGCTCGCCCACACGTTGCAAAACCGGTAAAAACATACCTGGAAACACTTAAATGGGAAGTGCTACCGCACCCGCCGTATTCTTCTGATATTGCACCTAGCGACTACCACTTGTTTCGATCATTAGCTCATAGCTTGTGCGAGCAGAAGTTCACATCTTACGAAGATTGTACAAAATGGTTCGACTCCTGGATTTCATCTAAAGATGAACAGTTCTTCCGACGCGGTATTCATTCACTGCCCGAAAGATGGTCAAAAGTAGTAGAAAGTGATGGGAAGTACTTTCATTAATGTATTTTTTAATGCTCATGTGAAATAAATAACATTCTTTCATTAAAAAAACGCTACGAATTAATTCCAACACCTAATACATTATTTATAAAGAATAAATTACTTTACCTCATATACAGATGAATTTTTTGACGGTGTCCAATTTTTATATTTGCCATTTATACTCTTTAATCAATTCATTCGGCGTTCTGTGTCTTTCGGAATTATTTTCATAATATATCCTTTTTTTTAATGAATTGTTACAAAACGGTATTGTACATCCAACCATATTTCTAAAATAATTTCAATAATTTTATTTTTATCAATATATCTTTACGTATCTATGTCGTTCAATGCTGTTGCACCTAACTCTAAAATTGACAGTCTGTTGGATAGACTGAGACCGTATATCTCCTTCTCGCAGAATTTCGCTAAAATGACGTCATCTCTCGTATGGCCATTCTGATTATAGGCTCTCTAGGTTGGGCGACTTTATTTTCGAATTTGGCGACTGATATTTCCGATTTTGGCGTCTTTGGTGATTCTCTTTCTCTCTCTCTCTTTCTTTCTCTTTTCGTTTCCAAAAAATGCTGGAAAATTTTTTGATGCGCTGATTGATGGCTACGGGGCTGAATTCAGGAATTACGCTTAGATGACTCTAGGGTGCATTTTTGCTATAGTATACGTAACGTAACCTACAGCTTAAAGTTTGTTTGCATGCAACATATTCCAATATGTTCCTATTATAGCTCATACTCCAACGCGCTTTTGATAGAGTGAATAGGAACTATGATAGGAGCATGTTGGAGCATGTTGGAGCTTACGACGCAAACAAATCTTTAAGGGTCGATTGTTCCACTTTGTGATAAATTTTACTTGTGGGTAAATAGCAAGATTACCCAATCATATGCGTGGATTGCCAGATTTATTTCACGGGTAAAATTTATCAAAAGGTGGAACAACCGGCACTAAATTCGCAAACAATGGAGTAATAAGCCTTAAGGAATTGACCAATCACAGTCGATTATTCTTCTCATTTTCAACTGTGATTGGTCAATTTGTTACTCTTATAACCTCATTTACTACTGCTACTGCCATTGTAGACCTCGCATTAAGTTTAAAGCCTATTGTACAATGGGCAGTGGATTAAGAAGTAGGCGTAGAAATCAATCAATCATAGTCGAATGTGAGAAGGATAATCAACTATGATTAGTCGATTTCTACTCCATTGTGTTTACGGACTAAAGGCTGTATTTTAAAATTGACTGCCAGTACTGAAAATCTATAGTGCACGTGATTGTAGCATTTTCAGTGCTGGCAGTAAATTTGGAATACAGAGTTATCTGGGCGTAATTCTTGAACGCTGCCATGATTGCTCAGTGAATATTGAAATTTCGCGGGCGTTGAAATTGTTGAGAATCGTGAATCGTGAGCCGTTGCGGTTGCTGCGTATCTAGAGAATTCCGATCTGAGAATTGTTCAATTATTCCTCAAATTTATATTGTGTTTCATATGGAAAATGAAATAATTCCGATCGAAAATCCATTCCAAAAACAGTTTTACAAATCCATAATATGTTATATAATATGTAATATCCTATTTCTATTGTGTTCACTGCTTCTGGTTGCAAGTCACAGTACAATGTCTTCATATTTATATTTAACAGAAAAATCAGGTAATGATATAATAATAGCTCTTTTGCAATTGTTTTTACATACTTGTTTTTACATCTCGTCTACGCGTGATACAGATTACTAAAGCCATCTATTGGAAAAATAATGAATTTCTTTTTACTACACCTAATATATATAAAACTATTGAAATCCTTCCGTGCAGAATCCAAAATTGGTCATCATTAATATCAACTAAAAATTTAGAGAAGCAGCATAAAATTACGCATTTAGCAATATTAAAGATCAAGAAAAAAGCAAAATAAGAGATTTAAATCTTTCTGTCTACATAGCATGTCATTCCAGTTTAAGAAGTATTGATCATCTCAGTAACATTTTTAATTCTTTTAAACTTCAAAATTTTAAGTTAGAATTGCACCGAACAAAATGCAGTAATTTAATTAAATATGTTATTGCTCCAAATTTCTTAAAAAACCTCGTTGAAGATGTTGCCTTTGGTGGTGATATGCCTTTTTCATTGATCGTCGATGAATCCACCAATGTGGCAGTATTTAAATATTTTTGCTTATGCACCAAATATTTTAGTATCAGTAAAAATAAAATTATTACTAATTATTTAGGCATTGTAAAGATCAATAAAGCAGATGCAGAAACTTTATACAAAGTTCTTGTCGATTTTTGTAACAAGAATATTTTTGTAAAGTCTGAATTTGACCAATGTTATTGGTTCGGGAACAGATGATGGCTCTAATTTGTATGGGTGCAATCATTCTTTGTATACGATTTTGAAGTCGTCCGTTCCCAAACTGTACCCTGGTAAAAAAATGTTTCTGAAAACTTCGTTGAAAATATCTGAAATCATTTTTTAGAG